AAAAAAATTGTAAAATAAGAAGTCAAAGAAATCCATTCAATACACTACAGACTTTCATATGGAGCGTCCAACTTAATCAAAATAATTTTAACAGTATTAGATACAGACAAATAGGATACTTTTATCAATTTAAGAAATACCTATATTTGAATAAAAATTAGTAAAATAACTAATAACTATAATAAGTGCTAATAAGTTATAATCAATCTTCAAATTGAATAATTTATTTAAGTAGGWCTAAAATGATGTTTTATTCTCTATACATATAGTGTCTCACTTATGTTAGCCTTTTTCCAGTGAGGAGAGATATTACGTAGGAAAATCCAACTACTTAAAATTGTTGAATTATTGTAGAACACTCTATTTAGATAGTAAACTAAAAGCTATTTACTTCTGTTGTCATGATGAGACAACTAGCAGACGGATTAATAGTAACATCACCCGTGATAAGACCAACATCAACAAATTCTTCATGAAATTCACGATATTTTTGATTACTTAATGCTTTTATAGGTGTGGTATAGATTACACGTTTTGATTCTCTTAGGGACAAAGCTATACTATACCTATAAAAAATTAAAAACATAAATTAGTTAGTTAAATACTTAAATTAAAAATATTTTTGATATATATAGCAGTATAAACTTACTCCGCAACTACAGTTTTACCAGCAGAAGTATGAGCTGATACAAGAACAGATTGATTATTTTCAATACAAACAATAGCTTCTTTCTGAAAAGGATCTAAATCAAATTCATATACTTTAGCTGGTTTTTTATTGATATCTCGATTTAATGGTATATAATCAAAATTTAATGGAAGAGCAATTTCGTGTGTACATGACTCTCCATCGAGAGATTCTACAGCAAATATTTTTATTCTGGGAGCGGATACATCAACACTGAAACAAATAAAATTGTATTTATAAAAATTTAAATAAGTCTACATTTCAACTATGTTTATTATTATTAAGATAATCTGAATTTTTTTTAAATCTTGATCTGTTTTTAGATTATATTTATTACTKAACTATAACAATTAAACAAAAAAAAAGCAGGTRAGTGGATGTTAGTCTGCTGTATAGTAGATTACAAGTGGGTCACCACAATTTGAATTTAATGATATAATTTCATAGTACACAAAGAATGATTTTAAGCGGAGATAGTTTTCAGTCTAGGATATTTTAAGATTTTTAACTACATAATTTGTAAATTATCAATTTAATACATTTTGTCAACATTTAAACTTTAAAAATGATAAAAAAAAATGTGCTCATGTATTTTTAATACTTTTCAACTATTATTGTAGGTAAMAATATATTAGGAACATTGTATAAAATTTTCAAGTTACACCAAAATCGATTTTCTCAAAAACCTAACCTAACCTTCCTGTTTTTCCATAACTTTATTTTGTTTTTCTCGGCACTTTTGAAAACTACTAGAAATTTTGACTTCCCTTAGATTAACTTTTCCACCAGAAAACCTACTGTTAAAAATCAAAGAATTATTTTGATTACTATAGTGTACATACAAAAAAAAAWAATAATTAATAAAAACACACATCATTGTAAAATCAATATAATCATAGTTTTCTTCATAATCTAAAATTAAATTAGTCCATGGTTTTTGTAAACTCTACTGTATACGTTAGA